CAACTCTTTCAGTGATTGGACTACAGAATTCCTCAATATTTGATTTGATCCTAGCATTACAGTTGCGGAAATTGAAGGATTTGAAGTTGTCAAGCTCCTTGAAACATCCTCTTCACGAGATTCAACAATGCTCCCTTGCTTTGAGAAATCTCTTCGAAGTTGCTCCCAATCAGCCAATGACTTCAGAATACTCACCGAGCACTGCAATAAAAATCTTCATGTCAAACTAACAATAAATAAAAAATTATAAAGGATGGTCGAGTAACCTGAATCATAGTAACCTGGAGAAATGAGCCTTTTACAGAAACTGTTTTGGATGACGCAATGGAGTTAGTATCAGCAATTTGAGATCCTTGTGCTATTCTTGAGAGTGCACTAACCTGGTAGGAGACATATTATCAATCAGATGTGTTACAAGCCAAAGAAAAAAAGACTAAGAAATTCAAAAGCTATGCTTTGTGGATATTTGAAAAAAAAACATATGATTACTGTGCGTTCAAAAAGATTTTGTCCCTCAAGATCACTCATAGTTCACAAACACATCTGTTGGGTGCGGGAGGGGCCGCTCGCTACGGGCTAGTCGTGGAAGGGGCTGCCTGGCTCCCCGGGCTTGCCGCTGGAGGGGCTGGCCGCTCCGCACAGGACGCAGGAGGGGCCGCCGGGCTAGCCACGCTCGCGCTACCAGTCTGGTGGCGACGCCTCCTCCACGGGGAGCTCGCCGATCGACGATGGGAGAGAGGCCGGCTGGCCCTAGATCCAGCAGATCCGGTGGCAGAAGGGCCGGCGGCGGTGTCCATCTCCCCTATTTACGCGGCGGCGGCGTTTTTTCTCGAAACCGCTAGAACCTGGTCGGGTGCGGCGGAAAGGAACCAGAGGATACGAAGGAAGAAAGCAGAAGGGCATTTCAGTCATTTCGCATGTCATCCAGTGGGGGAACTAATGGTACACCCTAACAGATACGATGGAAGGCCATATAAGGAAGATAAATTCGTTTTGAGGCCATACAAGGAAGTTCGAAAAAAGGGCCATACAAGGAAGAGGCATTTTTTTAAGACCATACAGGTAAAAAGCTCATATGCCATTTCAACCTCTGTTTCAACATTAGATATTTGGAGTGTGTTTTGATAGAATTTTTACAGCAAAGTTTTCAAATATTTCAAATCTAAGGAAAGTTTAATAGGGTGCACATGCTTATTCAACCATCAGTGAAAGCTTATAGAGTTATGATAAGGACCAGAGTTAGCATTATATTTTTTTTTAATTTAATTCATTTATTTGGTCTTCAGTTAACAGGGTCTATAATAGAGGCGAACAGTGGTTTCAGATTCAAAAAAGAACACACAGTCATATTTTAAAAAAAAATAAGGATATAGAATTATAATTAGCCTTCAAAGTAGGAGCAAAAATGCCAATCTCCCAACATAAAATGGTTTAACAAGATACTTCCTCAGCTTTTGAATAAATCAAATCCTAGATTGTATTAAGTTAATTTGTTTTTATATTTGATTGAATTCGTAGAAAAGAGAACAAATGTTTATGACAGCAAATGAACATATTGTATTTGTGGTCGAGCCGCGAGTGTGGTGGACGATTCGTCAGCTAGAAAGTTGGTGAGCTGTGGCGGCAAAAATGAACTAGGTGGTGCAGTGGCCGCCAAATCTTCGGTGAATCGTGGTATGGGTGTTTGGCCGACACGGAGTGCCACACTTGCGGCACGACGAGCTGCGCCGTGGTGTGAACGTGAAGCAAACGGGCCTGTTTGTTCGTTAGGCTGAAATTTAGTTTAGGCTGATTTATTATAGAAAAAATACTATTCGTTCGTAAAAAATAGCACTGGAGCACTGAACGGAAGCCCTGAATCCTACCACTCGAGCACAGCCGTACAAGGTCAAGCTGAATCCCGCACGCTTGCTCATTGACGAGTGACGAGTGAGTGATGGCGATGGCGCCTTTGGCGGCCTTCGGCCTTCACACGCTTCAATGGGCTGACACACAGGCACGTCAGTGGTACCGATGCCTTACAAACGCGCACGCTGCTAGCCTTTGTTCAGATCACCTCCAAATTTCAAGTTTTTTCACTCTCTTTCTATCACATCAATTTTTAGCCGTTTGCATGGAGCATTAAATGTAGGTAAAAAAAATAACTAATTGCACAGTTTAATTGAAAATCACGAGATGAATCTTTTAAGCTTAGTTGGTCCATAATTGGACAATATTTACCAAATAAGACAAAAGTGCTACTATTTATCGGGTTAAAATTTTTTGCAATCTAAACATGGCCTAGGAGAGGAGGTGTAGCGCGTCACTGCTCGCTGCTGCCTGTGTTGCTCCGTGCTCTGCTACGCTCTCGTTCCGTTTCGGGGCACGAGCTGCTGCCAGTTTCGAATTCAAAACTTAACCGTAGCATAGCAATGGCATCCAAAAGATTTGAGTAAATTTTAGACCGTGTTTAAATTCAGGATGTAAGGCTTGTTTAGATTGCCTCAAAATTTTAAGTTTTTTCACTCTCTTTTAGTCACATCAATTTTTGGACGTATGCATAGAGAATTAAATGTAGGTAAAAAAAAATAACTAATTACACAGTTTGGTTGTAAATCACGAGACGAATCTTTTGAGCCTAGTTAATCCATGATCGGACAAAGTTTGTCAAATACAAACGAAACGTGCTACAGTGTCCAGATTGCAAAAATTTGCAATCTAAACAAGGCCTAAAGTTTTAGAGTGTTATTTTATGTGTCACAAGAGGGTGTCGCATAGGGTGTTTGAATACTAATAAAAAAATAAATTACAGAATCTGTCAGTAATCCGCGAGACGAATTTATTAAGCCTAATTAATCTGTCATTAGCACGTGTTACTGTAGCACCACATTGTCAGATTATGGCCTAATTAGGCTTAAAATATTCGTCTCGTAAATTAGTCGCAAATTGTATAATTAGTTATTTTTTAGTCTCTATTTAATATTTTATGAATATGTCCAAACATTCGACAAGACATAAAGTAAATTTTAGAGGAGGAACTAAGGGGATGTTTGGTTTCAAGGACTAAATTTTAGTTCCTGTCACATTGGATGTTTGACACTAATTTGGAGTATTAAATATAGATTAATTACAAAACTAACTGCACAGATTGAGACTAATTTGTGAGACGAATTTATTAAGCCTAATTAGTCCATGATTTGACAATGTTGTGCTACAGTAAATATGTGCTAATGATGAATTAAGACGAATCTCTATATGTCTCAATCATAGACTAATTAGCACCATATTGTCAAATCATGGACTAATTAGGCCTAATGTGGTGTCACATTGGATGATGAATTAAGACGAATCTCGTAAATTAATCTCTATATATAATTAATTTTATAATTAACTTATATTTAGTCTTCTTAATTAATATCCGAACACCGATGGGACGGTAGCTAAACTTTAGTCGGAACCCAGCACCCCCTGAACAAGGCCTTGGCAGTGACGTCCAGCGACCCAAGGAATCCTAGCACAGATCTGCGTATCATCCGTACCGCTCGTAACTCGCCCAGGCACTAGTTGGAACTCCAAACGGTCATTGCCGCATCCTACAGTGATCCATCCAATAACAAACTTCTATTAGGGCCCTGTTTAGATTGCCTCAAAGTTTTAAGGTTTTTCACTCTCTCTTCATCACATTAATTTTTGGACACATGCATGGAGCATTAAATATAGGTAAAAAAAGTAACTAATTGCACAGTTTGGTTGTAAATCACGAGACGAATCTTTTGAGGCTAGTTAGTCCATGATCGGATAAAGTTTGTCAAATACAAATGAAACGTGCTATAGAGTCCAGATTACAAAAATTTGCAATCTAAACAAGGCCTAGTGTCTTATTTAGTTGGCGATTTTTTTAAAAAAAATGGTATTATAACACTTTTGTTGTTATTTGTTAATTAGTGTTCAATCATAGTCTAATTAGACTTAAAAGATTCGTCTCGTGAATTTCGTCTAAACTGTGAAATTAGTTTTATTTTTTATTTATATTTAATGTTTCATGCATGCGTCAAAGATTCGATGTGACGGAAAATCTTAAAAAATTTTGTAAAATTTTTGGAACTAAAGAAGCACTAGAGTACCAACAGTGCGCTTTGCCGATGCATTACTGTACTCCTACTGTCTGATATGAAATGGCACGAGGTAGCCTAGCCATGGAAAGACGAGAAGCTAGCATGCTGTGACACTACTCCTATCAGTGCAGTCTGCACCGCCGCAGAGGGAAGGCGTTCAAAAAAGCAAAAGAGCTGCACCCCATAACATATCTACTGTTCGCTTACTCGTAAATGATTTTAAAATTTTAGTTAAAAATAATATTTTTCTCTCACATTAAACCAACCAGTAGTAAATAATCCACGATACGAAGAGGCAGAGGCGCCACCAAAGCCGGGATACGAAGAGGCAGAGGCGCCACCAAAGCCGGGTTTTCATCAGAAAAGAAGGCGCCAAAGCCAGGGATGGAGCAATGATAGGGAGGGACACCCGGACAGCGACGGGCAGGGCCACAGGTGGGAGTTGGCTTCGTGCCGCGGCCGGGAGATGGCCGAGACGCGAACAAGAAGCAGATCATGCGGAATATGGTAGGGCCCCTGCAAAGCACGAGCGTGAGCGTTTGCGTTATTCCAGCCCAATTTATAACCCCCTCTATCGATTCCTCTGCCGTTTTAGCGCCGAATCTTCGTAGACGCAGCACGGCACGCCACAACCAAGAATACGCGGCGCGGTGAGCTCCACAAGGCAAGAAGAAGGGCAAGGGCAATGGCGGGAAGGCGAGAGGAGGGGGATGGAGAGAGTGCAGCGGCAGCAGCAAGAGAGGAGGATTACATCGACATGGACCTGAGCTCTGCTGCCGCCGGGGCGCAGGAGTTCGAGTTCATGTCGGCGCCGCTGGACCGGTGGGGGAGCCCCTGGCGTCGCCGGCGGACGAGCTCTTCTACAAGGGCAAGCTGCTGCCGCTGCACCTGCCGCCGCGCATCCAGATGGTGGAGGAGCTCCTGGACGGCCGCAGCCACGGGGGCTGCAGGGCCGGCAGGGAGTTTCTCCACCTCCACGGCATCAGCAGCACGGCCCCGGCGACGCCGTACGAGTCGTGCACCGCGTCGCCGGCCAACTCGTGCTACGTCAGCGGGGAGCTCAACGTCGAGGAGTACTTCCAGGAGTACGCGGCGGCGGCCGGCCTGGCGCTGGCAGCGGACGCCGCAGGGGCGCCAGGGGCGAGAGGAAGCCGTGGTCCAGGAAGCTCAGGTTCATGAGGGCAGCTCAACCTCGGGCTCAGGCTCAAGGCGTCCAAGGCGTACCTCAAGACCATATTCGCGGCCAAGCCGGGGAACCCGGACGATCTTGGCGCCGCTACGGCGACGGCGAGGGGAGCGGGGGAGGAGCTCGCCCATGCCCATGCCCATGCCCATGGGCACCCCTGGGCGTGGAGGAAGAACCCGTTCGCCCAGATTAGAAGCAACAGGTGCATCGCCTCCCACAGCGGCGTCGGCGTCGGCGGCAGCAGCCGTGCCGCACCCGCAGGAGGGCGGTATAAGGAACGCGAGCACGGGCACAGGCGGTCCTTCTCCAGCGTCATCGTCCGGTACTCCTCGTCGAACAAGACGTCCCCCGTCCCTGCGCTGCCGTCGTCGTCGTCGTCGTCCTCGTGCTCCTCGTCGTCGTCGAGCTCGTCAGCCTCCTCGTCGGTCCGGACCTCGAGCGAGTCCGACGGCGCGGGCCCGGCGCTGAGGAGGAGCAGCAGCGCGAGCTCGGAGGTGGAGAACCCCATCCAGGGGCTCATCGCCTACTGCAAGAAGTCCCAGCAGCTGGCCTCCGTCAGGAAGAGCGCCAGCGACGCCGGCTTCCGGTTCCTGTCTTCGGCGGTGTCCAAGATCGCCGCCGACTCCGACGGCCTTGATGAGCTCGCTGAGATTTGCAGAGGATGATATGGTAGTCCCATGAATCCCGATGATTGTACAATGATGCAAATGCGTTCTGGAGATTTTGTGAAAAAAAAACTAAAACTTGTGGTGTTGACCACCCTGTGTCATGATGATATTGTTCACATGAATGACATCTGAACTTTGAACATTGACTGTTTCCAGTACATTACGTGTCTTGGTCCAGCTCATTATGCGAGAGCTGTAGAATTTTCCATGGATGAGTAAAATCAATAGCAGAGTCTTGCTTTCATTACATCACTTTAGAATTGTTTCTAATAAGCACTGATAGTGTTCGGCTGGCTGGTTGGCCGGCTTTTTTTTTTTTCCTCAGTCAGAGCAGTGTTTTTCTCTCACAAAATTTCAGTATAAAATGTACCGTAGTGAGTAGCCGGAGAAGCTCCAAATTGTGGCTCCACCGGCTTCTCCTCTTCTCAGTTTATTTTTACCTCGAAATCCGAAATGGCTTCATGCTACAGTGTCGCTGCAGTGATTTTGAGGAGGAGCCAGAGCCCCTGGGAGCCATGCCAAACACGGCCAGAGTCATGATTTGCTAAAGGGAGCAAGAGCAAATCTACTTGTCTGCGTATGTTTCAACTTTAAGCCAAATTTCAGCCTAAGTGAACAGCTTGGCCCGCCGGCATTGCTTGGCTCTGATTTCTGAACACTGGCAACTCAAAGTAGCGCCAACGCAAGACGATGGACGATCAAAGTTGTTTGATCATCTTAAATGTTGCCCTTACTAATCCCATTCCCATCCTACCACAGTACCATGTGCATCAAAGCGAGGTAAAATACAGAAACACATGTTCACTTTTAGAACAGGAGTAGCATTGTTTTTCAGGGAACACTCAGTGGCCGACACAGAAAACTTGCAATCTAAAAAGGGTACAGTCTCTACTATACCACACATTGATACATGTATTGCTTCACATTACCGGCATCATGTTCGCCTTTGAAGCTACGGGTGATCAGAAAACAAGCAAGAATTGGTTTGTCGAGGGATAAATTTCTCCCCAAAATAACGAAAAAAAGAGAGAGACAAGGAAACAAGGCAATGTGGGGAAAACAATGGAGGCAGCAACTTTTTGCTCCCATCAATGGCTGTCTAGGTCACAATGCTTCTCCTGGTACACATCGGTAGGCGCATGGGAATATGGCGCATAAATTAGCATATCTGAATATCAGAATGATGGACACGGCTCCACAAATTGGATTAGCAACTTTTTACAAGCTGAGTAGATTTAAGAGGGCTACTTTTATCTCACTGATCATCTTTTTCTTTTGTGCATCTGATGATGCCAGACTTTAAACATTAATGGCCAATGAAAACATATTTTGTTTTGTTTTGGGTATATAAACAGGAAATTTGTGAAAAGGTCGGCTTAAGATGCTGCAAACATGTCAATGAGGTAGGTTCCACCGACTCCTGGCTTCAACATAGTCGTCTGGCTTAGTGTCAGATTTGGCAATTCTGGTGTACCTAACTGCTAACAAAACAGCTTCAGGCCTCTTCGGCTGGTATTAAAGCCGGTGATAAGCCATCTGAAGCTGTTACATTAATGAGAAAAATACTTGTAGATTCTAGCTGATAAGCGGTTGATAAGAATTTGGTAAATTTGATATAAAACAAAGAAATCTAGTACTTCTTACTAGTAGTTTACGAGCACAAAGTCCAAAGCTGAAAACAGGGAAGAGATTCCATATTCTACTCCAATTTGGTGTGGCCATGAAAGCTGCAATGCAACAGCCAGCAGACAAGATCAGCTTAGCCAACATCACAGTTGCCTGATAACAAAACCAAGTCTGCAAGACTGCACCCAGTTTCTCTCCTTCACTAAGCCTCATCAACCTCACATGATGCTGAAACCACACGAAGATAAATTTATAGTAGAAAGCATCACCATAAACAACTCTGCCTGTCAGCATCTAACCCTATCCTAAATCGGATCAGAAGGATCCCACAAGCCAAAAAAGGCCCATTCCATCGCTTTTACGCGGAAATCTCGTAAAAAAATTCGCAGTGGCGAATAATCCTTTAGAAATTAGAAGCGGAGAGCACGCGCGTGCCCTTGCCGATCAGACGTGGAGCAGGATTAAAGCCAAAGGCAAAGGCAAGCGGATTTAGTCATCGAATTGGTTTCCATGGTGGGTGTGACCGTCGATCGTGGAATGAGAGTTTCTTTTATGCCGCCCGGCATCTCTGGCACTCACAATTCGCCAAAGATTTGTAGGGTTGTTTATATGCATGTGCTTTGCGTCTAGCATCCGGTTTTTGCATGGCGAAAGCTGTGGCTTTTGTGATTATTCTCTTGCTGGCCTAGAAGTATTCATTGTTCTCGTGGTAACTGACGTGTGATGAGATTACAGGTAGTGACATCCAACTGCAGCTAAACCTCTCAGTTGTTCTATTCTTCCAAAGAAGGGACGAGAAGTTAATGAATGCCAAGTGTTCTCTAAAAGTCTCTCCTTGTGATTCCAACTTTCCAAGGCAATCCATCCCACTGCCAAACATAGCCAGGAAGGGTTGATGTTCATTGGGACAATTTGTGCAGTGACAATGGTCTAGTGGCAGTCTGTTTGTTCGGGCTTTGTACGTGAGCAGCACAAGTGCACAACGCAATTCATTCCAAATCACAGGGGCATGGGTCTGAATCGTAATCCTAATATTTTCTTTTAAAGTTCATTGACCTGAGCAAACTATATGTCGCTGGCACAATTTTGGGCGTTTCCATTTTTTTTAAATTTTAATTGCAATACAGACGTAGATGCTTATATACATGCACATCTACCAACATTACTATAAAAACGATTTCATGATGGAGCAGGACATAAAATGCTCTTTGTCTCCCAAAATATGGGGATTTAGCAGAGACGGTCCGAATATTTACGGAAACACAGAACAACAGTATCCATACTCAATTAAGTGAGAGAAGGGCCTCTTCTGAAAATGATGGTAATTTTAAAGACGTGTCTCTTAAGAGGCCTGTCTCGGAAAGAAAGGCTCAAAGACCAAAAGGTTAGATTAATTACGTTCAGTATATAAAAAGGGCCCTTAGGATTTTTCATCTTCGTCTCTCTCTATTCTCTCCCCTCGTCTCTCTCTGTTCTCTCTTTTTTAAACTTTTGTGATTTATTTCTAGAGAAGGGCATTAATGCCCACCTCAGAAAATACTCATTAACTGTGACTGCGCCTAGGAGGCAGGCAACATGTCCGTCTCTGAAAACTGATTATGACCACCTCCGAAAATGTGTTTGGTAGTAGTGCAATGAACACTATATACATTCTACTCCTATGAGCACCTCAAAAAAAGCTGAGCGGTCTAATCTTGGTATTGATGAAGTCACCACATATGCCTTAACGTTGATGAGCACATAAACTTACCATTTAAAAATAACGTTATTAAATCCTAAATCAAATTGGAAAACATAAGAGCACTTGAATCAAGTCGAGAATTTAACTCTCATATTTGCGTTGTATCGTGTAATTAAAAAAACATGTTAAAAAAAAACTAACCAGCTAGTTTCCGTGCCAACGGGCTAGCGACCCATTGGATGTGCTACATTATTGAGCAATGATGATGTTTTCTTATTATCTTCCTTTATTTACCTTTTATCTCTTTTCTTTTCTTTCTTTTCTCTTTCCTTTCATTTTCCCCGATCCCCTATTAGTTATTTTTCTCCACTTGATAAATATTCCTATTTCTTTCACAGTATTGTATGAGTTGTCCTTATTTTGGGATTAACACTACTACAGATTTTTTTCGGAAGAAAATGTTGATACAACTACTAAAACAATTTTCTAAATCATTCCAAGGAATAAAATATACTGCTTCCATCACAAAAGAAAAAAACTACTCACAAAATATACTGCTTCCATCATAAAAAGAAAAAAACAATTTTCTAAATCATTCCTAGGAGTATAGTCTTATCATAATTCAAAAGCGATATTAAGTCTGACTAAATTTATAAAAAATATTATTTATAACACTAAATAAGTATTATTAGACTAAAATAGAATAAATTTCATAGTATACATGTTTTGGTGCCATAACTGTTGACACTGTCAAAATTTAAGATAGTTGGCTTAGGAGAAAACTAAAATTGTATTCCTCCTGACAGAGAGAGGCAGTAATAAACTAATCACAAAGATTACAAGGTAAAGAAAGAAAACAAAATTCGGGCTTTGTCTTTCTCATGTGGTGGGCAGTGGGCTGTGTGTTCGGTCGTAGTTTAGGTGGTGGTTCGAACTGGGCTTCAGCTCAACACTTGATGGAAAAGGTTTTCCAACCGAAAAAAGTCCACATTATTACCCTCAATTTTCGCAAAAGTCCGTTTTTCCTCCCTAAACTTCAAAACTGGGCAAAACACATTCCTCAACTTTTAAAATCGTTCATCTTACCTTCCTGACCTTGTTATAAGCAGTTTTGAATGCGGTTTTGTCTTTTTCTTTTTTATTTATTTTGGCGGAATCTTTGAAAAATCATAATAAATCAAAGAAAAATCATAAAATAAAAAATCTAATTTTGTTGGACTCCACATGAGTAGATCTACACAGTGAACATATAATATGGTATGCTTTAGTACAAAGTTTTTGTTGTGACTTTAGATCTATGCTTTTATGTAATTAATTAGAATAATTCATAGCTGCAGTTTCTATGGTCCAATTGTGATAAAATTTTTATGGTGGACTAATTATTGTATGATTGAACTGTAGTAAAATTTCATACTTATTCAATCATGTATAGCTTAGTTATAGATTTATTTATATTTAACAAGTATAAACCTAAATAAAATCTATAACTAAATTATATATGATTCAATGAATATGAAATTTTTACTACAGTTTAAGCATACAATAATTGATCCACCCAAAATTACCATAATTGGACCATAAAACTACAGCTTTGAATTATTCTATTTAATTATATAGATCTAAAGCCACAATAAAACTTTATACTAAAGTGCACTATATTATATGTTCATGTAGATTCACATGTAAGTCA